AGGCCAGCATACAGTGTAACCGTGTCAGGAGCCAGCTCGTAGTGTTTGACTGAATTATTCATTCTGTTGCTTTGTCTTTTACACAGTCAACATACAGTCAGAGCCATGTATATTTCATAGGGAACATGCTATAGCGTGTGCTCTGCTCTGTGGCACAGAGGAAATCCTCAGCAAGCCCCCGATCCCCTCATTTTCCCCGTCGCAGCCGTCGCTCCCCGTCTGATGTCGTGGTGAAAGAGCTGCGATGTCTTACATAGGAGAAATTAAGAATGAAAATCTCACGTTGCGATCATCTGAGTGATATATTTCGGCGTTCACAAGACTCTGAAAAGAGAAAGACTGATGCCATCTAATCAAGGATTTCTATTCTCTGGGGGATCATCAGTCATTCAGAGCGGAAAAAGATTTCAGGCATTTAAAGTGTGCAGGATGTTTAAAAAAAAGAGACCATTTGAATATATAATCTATTAGCCATCATGAAAAAATAGCCAAGCATTCATCGTCTTTAACACGTCTTCTGCGGGCCTCGCTGGCATTTACAGCGTGCATGCCTCATTGAAGTGTTAAGTCCATTTGTAATAATCTTTTAGTCAGGATTTGTTTTCTTCTCTGTTGACACTCCAGCGTGACCCACACTGCTGAGTGTACATGGCCTGTGCTCAGCGAGGATCTAAATTATGCTTTAAAAGACAGCACAGTGGGTAATTGGATTCTTTTGTTTTCCAAGATGAGCCCACAAACACTCATTAGTGATTTAAACTGCAAATCTGAATGATTACCAGCTGTGATGGTGGAGCTGGTGTTGACTTTATCTCGTGAGTCTTTTTGTGTGTGTTTGAGGTGACACTGTGCAGGTGTGTAGTTGGATTGAAATGAAGAGTGTGAAGATGGGATGAGCCATTAGCACTAAGTACTCATGCAATCATGCGAAAAAATTAGTAATGACTTCTGAGTTTTCAAAAAGTCAATGTGATGTGTGATCCCACGAGGTGGTCTCTGGTTAATTATTGTAGTGTAGTATATTGACTTTACTGTAAACAAATGAATTGCTCTTAGCTAGATGTAGATGCCTGCCATTCCCAGGATGCATTTCACATGGCTTTCTCCCCCCTTCTTCTATTTGCATATTACCCTTCGCTACAAGAAACAACAACAACAACCGCCGAGCAGCGACCTACATGCTGAAAATGGCAAATTTTGCATAAAGTAAGGGTTCTTTTGTTGAATTTGCAGTTTCAATGACAGCACTCATCTCCCTGTGGGCAAATGTTCCACCAAAACAGCTCCTCTTTCATTGTTTTGTAGGAGCACCATCCCTCCATCCTGGGCTTAGCAGGTAATACAAACAAGCCAGAGCGTCTTTGTCCTCTGATAGTAGAATGATGATGACGTCAGGTCTGGCTATGAGAGACTATGTCAGCATAGACAAAGCCTGATGTAGTTTACTCCTCTGTGCCATAAAGCACCATTATTGTCCAAAAACCAATAACGACACATCACTGTGACGGGTGATTTATTCTTTCATTATGAAAAACCAGGACAAATGTCTTGTTTGCTTTAGGTAGAGTGTGACTCCGCTGTCCTACTGCCACTAAAATGGGATCACAACCTGTCGCAATACCTGCCAACACGTTGACGTTGTGACCCATGAGTTCCAGACTCATCATCGTGCACGAATGTGACACTATCATGGTGACAAAATGTCTCCAGAGAGAGACAGGCAGGCGTACAGGCCAAAGCACTGGCACAGTGGAAGATAGTGTAACATAGTGGTGCATGGTACTGTAGATTGTGAAAAAAGCAAATGTCACTCTCTGACTTTGGGTTTAGGAGCTCCTTCGCATGCAAATTATATGCAAATGACATGTTTCCTTCCCTTAACGCCACAAAGTTGAAACTGACGCTGACAAAATACTGACAGCAGGAAAAAACATTACTGTAAAAAGACAGACATGAAGAAAAAAATGAGAACTTTGCCATTGAAAAGCACTAAAAACACTAAAAAAACATCATAAAATGAAGCTGTTTATGTCTCAATTTTCTTTTTTGTGGAACTTTTGTTTTTTTTTATGCCTATACAACTTGTTCAAATGTGTTGTAATTGTGTTGTCAGCTCTGGTTTAAATGCCAAATGATGTTTTTTGATGCCAAACTATACTGTCACTGCTATGGCCCCATACATGCACACATGTTGCCATGATGACACACAAACAGACTCACAAGATGAAAACAGTGCCAGCTACACAACTGCAGCTGATAACAAACACACACTTGATTCCTGTTTGAGTAACATCCACAGAGAAGTTGTTGAAGTCATCAGAGGCAACACATTGTGTTAATATAATACTGAACATCACCAGCCTCATCTTTTAATCGAAACACTGGACCAGAAATGGGCCAGAAACTCAAATATCATCTCTGTTTTATTTCATATTGTGTGTTATATTCATGACTGTGACGATGGCCCTCCTGCCATCGGGGGCCCCAGCGTCCTGTCTGTACTGACCTGATCAGTAATCAACTAATTACATGTGAAACTCCCACAAAGATTGCAAATGTTAACAGCGTCTGCAATAGTGATCACAGAAAACAAAGAAGTATTGAATTAACAACTGAAAATGAGCAACAAAGATATTTCAGAATAAAAGCACAAGATACAAATGAGATGCAGCTTTTTCAATATGACAGCACTCGAAATGTTTTCAAGACAAAAGCAGTTATTACATTTTTACAATTCGGGTTTTTTTTTTCTTATATGCAGCGTCTGTGAAACCATTTTGAAATATCAAACACCGTTTTCCTGTACAAAATAAATCACTTTTTGCAAAAGAGCGAAACACAAAGCTGAATAAGGCATTACGGTACATATTTTCATTCAGCTGAGCGTACTGGGCTTTTGTAAATGCTCTTCTTACAGTGATGGAAATAAATAAAAAGTTAGAGATAGTCCTGATAAGAGATAGGCAAGACCCTTCTTCCTCCACCCCCACAAAGTTTAGAACGCTTTGCCCAAAAATATAACACTATAGGTATATAACATTTGATTTTACCAATTGGTTACAAGTGAAGCTTAAAGGTACAACAGCTTGACGGCACATTAAAATAAAATAAGTCACGTTATCACCTAATATGCAGTTACAGAACAATGCTATCTTTACATTTGACACATTATAGATGCCTATTTAAACAAAACTGCTGCCATGGCAAAATGAGAGGCATCTGTCTGACTGTTCTCCCAAACTGTATATATTTTTAAAAAAAACAAATCGCTGCCCAGATCTTCTCCTCAAAGCAATCATCAGTGGAAAATTGTATAGGAAGATTCCTGCTGCTTGCTAATGCAGTTCATCCACTTCAGGCTTTTTCTCTGTTCGAGGTCATTCAGTCACCTCATTACGAGGTGAAACAGCAGCTCGCTTTCCCCCTCAGCTCCTCACCTCAGTGTCAGTTGAACATTTGGTTTGCAAAAGCACGGTGGCCTAAACTGCTACAGGAGAGGAAACATTACGTGAGCTGAACAGTTGTTACTGCTTAATGATGAAGGCCGTGTTTTCCTGTTACGTTGGGTGTCTTTCAAATGTTTTTTTTTCCCGACGTATTGGTCCAACAAAAGTAAACAAAACAGCAAAAAAAAACATGACGAGGTTTCATAATGAATATTCCTCCTCTTTTGAAAATGTTAATTATCTGTAATCACATCTCTTTTTACCATCACAAGGGCAAACATCAAACTGAATACATCCTGTAATTTAAATCCAGAGACAATGGAAATACAGCCTCAATTTAACATTCGCATGATTAAATTCTCATTAGCTCCTCGATGAGGTTGAGTGGCAGCACTATTAACAGTCTAGATATACAGTACAAACTGTCAGACACATTTTACATCATGTGGACTCTGTAGTCTAATTAAACTTTAAAGCTGCTATAAAAAATATTTCATATTAGCAATTTATGTGTAATGACAAGAGTTGGTGGCAGTGAAAAACCCACAAAGAATTGTTACACCACTTGAATAAATTGGAGCATCACCACCTTAAAAGATGTTTTTCTGTGAAGGTGGTGGAGACCAAAACAAAAGTTAATAGATTAATTGCATTTCATAGGCTGCAACTTAAGCTGTTGGCCAAAAACTTTGTTACATCAACTTCAAATGTGATGAACACTGGACGTTAACTTTATGGGTGTCACATCGATAGTTTAAGAGGTGTAGCCCTTTAGACGATAAATGGTCCCACGATTTAAGGGACTAGAAAGCATTTTTACAAGCTTGCACATGCCTAAATAAAGCTGCAAATCGATGAAAGCCTGCACCCACAGGTTTGCAGACGGCTGTGTTTTCCCCGATGCTACTCTGCCAGCACTGTGCAGCGGCTATCATCACTTCTTTCTGCCACGGGGGATTTTCTGAGTCAGCCTGGTTTTCATCAAGGAAAACACTCGATGCGTTGGTCAGGTGACCGTCTCGGCCAATCATACCTTGGCCCCTGCTTGGCCATAAAAAGACACCTTGGTGGCACGGCCTGTGTGCTTACCGGCAACTTCTTGCCTGACAATCTCATCATTAACGGACTGTGTATACATAGAGCTATGAGTCCGAGGCGGTTCACCTTATATGGGTGTGAAAACCTCAGCATTTCATATTTCGTGTTTAATTGTGTTCAAATGGAGAAGAAGAAAAAAAAAAACTTCACTTTCCCGCTATGTTCTCGACTCCTTTATGCGTGTTTGTTCACATGGGTGCATTTTGCATGTATATATGTACATCTGTATCCATTATCTTATGCACAGGCACACCGAGCATGTTTGTGTTCGTCCTGAAAGACAACCCCGAAGGAACATGCAAACCAGGTGGGACAAAATAAGTTTCAATAAATGAAACCAAAAACACAATCGATCACGGATGCTCTGTGGGCTCAGACTCCTGTGGTGAAGCACTGTGTGACCTCGGTCTGGAGGTCATCCTGGACTGTTCTCCCCCCCAGCTGATCCATGCCTAGTCAGGCAGGAGGCCTCTCTCTTGTCGCAGGAGCGCAAACAGACGCCGGTTCTCTCGTGCTGTTGCGCGCTCTGGAGAAGCTGCTCTGCTCCAAGCGAGAGCGATACGGCAGGCAGAAATCCCTGAAGCACCTCTTGAAGTTCTCGTCCAAAAAGGCGTACAACACCGGGTTCAGGCTGCTGTTGGTGTAGCCCAGGGCGATGCACAGGTGCCAGCAGGCCACTACCAGGAGGTTCTTGTGGTCTATATTCACCATGGTCTTGACGATGATGAAGATGTGGATGGGAGTCCAGCAGACAATGAAAGCCGCCACCACCACCAGCACCATGCGGGTGATCCGCCGCAGGTTCCTGTCCTTCTCCTTTGAGCCGGAGAGCAGGCGGACGCTCTTCAGCCGCAGGATCATCAGACCGTAGCAGATGGTGATGACCAGGACGGGCACCACGAAGGCGAAGATGAACACGCAGATCTTTGTCACTGTGTCCCAGTACCAGTCCGGTTTGGGAAACCTGAGTCCGCAGGCAGTGTTTCCTGAGAAGGCGAAAGAATTAGAGGTTTATTACCAGCCTAGAAACGGATTTAAGTTAATAACCCAGCTCAAATGTATTCTCTCTGACTCCCTGAAATCAATGCTCTGAAAGCAGAAAAAAGAAGGTCAGTGTGAAGAAGTCAGGTTTCTTTACAATGACGGTACTCTTGAGCGTTTTTCTGCAACAGTAAAATCCTTTTACCTTTGCTCGTTACCCTGGTAACAGCCATGATCATCACAGGGACTCCGACGGCAGATGAGAGGATCCAGATGCAGACGTTGATGAGTTTGGCTTTGGTAGGCGTGCGGAAGTCCAGCGCCTTCACAGGATGACACACGGCGATGTAGCGGTCCACGCTCATCATGGTGAGCGTGAAGATGCTGGTGAACATGTTGTAGTAGTCGATGGCCATGACGACTTTGCACAGCAGCTCCCCGAAGGGCCACGTGTTCATCAGGTACTTAGCGCTCTGGAAGGGGAGGGTGCTGGTGGCGAGAGCGTCGGCCAGAGCCAGGTTGAAGATGTAAATGTTGGTGGCTGTCTTCATCTTAGTGTATCTGGGTGAGTTGGAAGGAGAAGCAGCGAGCGGTTTTGTTACATTCCGACTCGCAGGCAATGGAAACGACTGTCAATAGGAGGAGATTGAATTTTCTTTTTCAAGGTCCGCCTAACGCTGTGTTGCAAAGACAGTGTCTCACATGGTTAACTCACAATTTCTATTAAAAGTTTCAAGGTTGGAACCCATTTTAGAGTTTGATTGAATTTGTTTCCTGCTAATCCACCTTGAAAAAATATTGAAGCAAGCCTAATGAAAGAGGTTTTTCAATGTTGTGGCGGCGGTGCACTAAATGAACAACAGCCTCTGTGCTCTGAGCCTCCATTAAACCACCTGTTTGTTGATTTTAGATGGAAAACCCTTCAAAAAAAAACCTCCCTTCTTTATTCCAGATTTACGGTTATTTCGCTATTTCACTCATGTCTGACCACCAGCTGCTTTGACATCCTGCTGTTAAAAGACAGACCTCTCTACATGACTCCATAACATGACAGTAGCCGGTCACGTTTAATTAAAGTGTGTTTTCCGAATGCTTTTTGCTGTCCGACATCACAAAGTAACAAGCGCAGCGAGGATAAAAGAAGACAAAGGGAGGCCTTTCCTTTTATCTCGGTCCCCCATGTAAAGAGATTTATAACATTACACACCATGAGCCGATCTCACTCTCAGTGGAAATTGCTTTAGCAGAAAGTGTGATGCATTTTGGATTCTGTTTGTTTGAAAACTGGAAAGTCGCGTTTCACACATCGCTCCAGGAGAGTCAGGCGAGCTGATTGATTGACACCGCGGTCGTCACATCAGTGCCCACTCGTGTTGGGCTGCATTAGTTCCACAACAAATGACAAAGAGAAATCATAAAAAGCATTAACCCGTGAATTAATAAGACACAATATTGCTTCTGAGAGCGCAACGTGCTGCTTGGAGATTAATCATCAGAGTTCAGAGCACAGTTCCTGCTGCAGTGAAGTCATTTCAGTGATAAACTATAGATCGTGGTCCCTTCCTCCCCTCTCCTCCCCTCCTCTCTTGTGTGTAGGAGGTGTGTGTGTACGTGTGTGTGTGTGTGTGTGTGTGTGTGTGTGTGTGTGTGGGTGGCTGTGTTAGAGTGGCTCTCAGACACACTGAAATTGTGGGCAATTACAAAGAACCTTCACAAATGAAGTCATATGGCAGAAAATGTTGGCTTTTTTCCGAACATGTTGTACTCTTATTCCAATAAGGGACTTTGCCAAAAAGACAATTCCTGCTGATTTAAAAATATCAATCATTTTCACACTGAAACTGAAGCATTTTGACCAACAGCACCTGATATTTAAATACTAAACTAAGTTGCTGGTTGTGCAATTTTGTCTGTTTTCATTTTTTTTTTTCTTTTTCTAATTGATTGAAGGTTCTCAGTGCACCATATCTTTCTTACCTGACCACCCCGTACATGACAAGCACGTTTCCCAGCAGTCCCACCACACAGATGAGAGAGTACAGAGCCGTGATGCAAACGGCGATGATGAGGCTCGTGGTGTCCCTGGTGTCAACCCTGCTGGTCTCGTTGCTTTTTGAAGGCGCAGGCAGCAGATCCTCGGAGAACGTAACGTTGAAAGGAGTTGCAGACGCCGAGTAGCGCTCCATAAAGTCGTCGAGAGGAGGATGAAGAGTAGGGAACTCCATGTCAGCAATTCAGGGGAGAATTTTTTGTAGTGCGTGGAGAAAGTGGCAAAGGTTTCCAAAAGCAGGTGCACAGGAGCGCACGGAGACTGGACAGGAAATTGGCAACGAGGCGCACAGAAGATGCCACTCTCTCTCTCTGCCTGTCTATCTCTCTCTCTCTCTCTCTCTGCCTGTCTATCTCTCTCTCTCTCCCTCCCTCTCTCTCTCTCTCGCTCGCTCTCTCTCGGTCTGCGTGTGCGCGTCTCCTGCGCGCTCGCTCCGTTTGGCGAAGCGCACTGGCGCACAAAGCGAGATGTGAGGAGACTGTTCCCCTTCCCGGCTTCTTCTCTCTTCCTGCCTGAGGGGATACCATTTTTCAAAGTGCTTTAATTAGGCTACATCTAACATGAAATAATGCTCCATCACGTGCGTTTTTTTGATCCCTTTACCCAAAATAACAGCGTCTTGTTCCAGCTGCCACCAAGCAGCCCATCAAATGTCAGTCTTAACCAATCTGAGCAGCTCCCTTTCTTGCAGCTTCAGAGCCCAATTAGACGCGTCTTTATTGGGCCATTCCTCCTGTTTTTCCGGCCCTGACAGCTTCTCCCACTCTCCGTGGCCTGTGTCCTTCATCAGCAGAGCTCCATTAGAGGGCTGAGTGTTTTCACCAGGCGGACACTTTTTCAGAAATGCCTTAATAAACCACAGAAATGATGCAATTACTTGCCAGTAACAAGAAATTGCCATCTTAGCCTTCAGATTGCTTGCCCGCCTAAATAATTTGTGGTATCAAGTACAGCTGCATGAGCAAACACACTGAACACACATGTAGACATATTCATCTGAGAACATGTTTGTTTGGAAGACGCTATATTTTCATCTGCCTGAGGTTAATGGATCTGGGACATTTTTCATCCCTGGATAGAACTACAATTAATGATTATCTTTATTGATAAATCAATTAGGTGTTTGGTCTAGAAAATGTCAAAAAAAAAAAGTCGATCAGTGTTTCCCAGTGGCCAAGATGTCCCCCTTAAATGTCTTGTTTTGTCCAAAGCCCAGTGATATTTAGTTTACTGTCATAGAGGATGAGGCTGCATGTGTGACGTGCGTTTCTCAGTCATAACTGTTTTTCCAACACCGACAGATTGAACATCTCCCTCGGCTGTGTCTATAGTGTTCGTAACTGCTGCAGTCTTTATCCACTCTGCAAAGTGACCTTTACAAATCCCCCTTTAAGCGACCACCATCAGCGCAGCACCAAGCGGGGACAGTCAGAAGAATCGGGCCAGGAAGAGGAACCAAACCTCTGGTGTTTCCCTCGTTCCTGCTAAATATAGATTTTGCGTGTCTCCCGCAGATTAAGAGCAGTAATTAAAATAGTCTGACTGAGTCATTTTGGAAGTCCACAAGTTCTTTTTTTTCATTAAAGGTGGGTATTTGTCTAAAGGATCTGCTGAGCTTTGTAACGATCCACAGGTGTCCATTAATCTGAAAATGTTTTACAAAGATGAGTTTTCAGACTCAGCAGACAGTGGACGGCTGTGTTGATCTGTCCGTTGTTTGGTTGAATATATACAGACTGAAATCTATACAGTCTTTGGATTGTGGAGGATAATTGATGATCTCAGATGCAGCCTTGTTGTTCATGGCCAGCTATAATACTTGGGCTTTGTGTTCGGTTGTCTTTCATTTTAGTTTTTAGCTCAACCCACTGCTTCGTACAGCTTCATAGCGCTGCATCACTTTAGACAGAAATGGATCAAATTCTGATAATAAACGCAGTCATTATGTTGTGCCTTAGAAAATGTATTCACTGTTTTACAGTCTCTCCTTGTGGGACAAATGGTCTATTTACCAATTGTAAAGTTTGTCTTTTTCGAACAAAACAAGAAAATGAGAAAATTACTTTTGGGATATTGTGCATAGCCAATCTAACTGCATAGCAAGACCATTATTTAAAATCTCCAGTCTCTGATTAAACCCTTAAAAACATCTCCATGTGTCACATTTTTCTCTGTGAAAAGAATTGTTTCATGTCTAAAAATTAAAGATGTCCCAATCAAGTTTTTTTTTTTTTGCCTCTGATCTGATTTGAGTGATTTATTCTTTAGTATATGAAGATACTCAGTCCCAATCCAATACTATTTTCCATATCAATCCAATTTACATGCTTGACAGTTTAATAGCTCAGCAATGTATGAAGAAAGAAATTGCATTTCTGCATCCAAGCTGTTCCTTTACATCACATAGATGGTCACAAACCTTGTTGTAAAGTCCCTGTCAGCACTACCTGAGCTGTAGTGTGGAGAGGGTGGTGTGTACAGCGGTGCTCCACAAGCTCCAAAAGATGGTGAAAACCTGTATTCCCTACTTGTGTGACAGAAAATGTCTTGTGCATTAGCTGTAGTACTTGGTTGTGCCACCAGGTGGAGCCTCTTAATGTGGTAATATTGTGGTAATCTGAGGAGACAGGGCAGTTCCATGTGGGCAAGCAGACAGCATTGTTGGAGTTAAGCTAGTAACCAGCACTATGACAAAGACTTCTGTGACACATAACGGCCACGAGCTAATGTGTGTAAAACAAGCTGGGATCAACCAGAGTAGCAATCTTGTATCCCTATAGTATGTATAGCAAAGTGGATTTTGCTGGCAATATTTGTTTCCATTGACTAAAACAGAAATATCAGCACAGGATTAACGTCAATTGCGGTCAAATTGTGTTATCAATTGATTCATTACTGATTATTGACCCATATTTAAAAAGCTAGCATCCTAAACATACTGCCACAAACGGTGCTCTCCCTTTACGACAGTTGTATGACAACAGACCTAAACTAATGATTGGGTTTTTAAAAATGCCTTTATCGGTGTCAGCACAAACATTAAAAAGCCTCGATGGGCCCTGATCCCCATCTTTGAAATCAGACCAGAACATCCCTTCTTAAAATGACAAAGATGTAACTCTACACTGCTAACTTGCTGCAGATGGAGCACACCAGCTCACCTACAGCTCTGCTAACGCTGTAAAACTGCTCTCCTGCTTCCACAATGGATAGATGTTATATTTCAGCTACACATGTTAGACCATGGGCTGCAGGGTGGCGCAGTTGGTAGCACTGTTGCCTCGCAGCAAGAAGGTTGCCGGTTCGCGTCCTGGTGAGGGCAGGGTGGAGTTTGCATGTTCTCCCCGTGCAGCGTGGGTTCTCTCCGGGTTCTCCAGCTTCCTCCCACACGGTCCAAAAACATGTTGAGGTTAATTGGTGATTCTAAATTGTCCGTAGGTGTGAATGTGAGTGTGCTTGGTTGTCTGTCTCTAAGTGTAGCCCTGTGATGGACTGGTTACCTGTCCAGGTGAACCTGCCTTCACCCTGAGTCAGCTGGGATAGACTCCAGCCCCCCATGACCCTAGTGAGGATTAAGCGGTGTATTGATGATGGATGGATGTTAGACCATTTCCAAAGAAGAACTGGAAATACAACCCTACTCTACAAGTTAACAGGATGATTCCTTAGGTTTCTGAATCTGTGTGTTTGAGACTGTCACTGCAGTTTCAAGGCAGAAATGTACATTCATGATGCTTATTCTGCTCATAATGTGTCTCGTAGCATGTAAAAAAAAACACCATACAGACATATTAACAAGGAATTTATATTGGAGGTTGTCTGAAAGTATAGAAGAGCTGATGTCTTAATTTCTAAGAGCAAGCTCCTTTAAATGAGCTTAAGATGAGCGCAGGGAGGCAGCGGGGGCGGAGAAGTCACCAGGGTTATCGGAGAGAGACACCTCCTTTCACATATTGCATGTTCCATTCAATTCAGCCCACGGCGCCTCCAAAGGGCTCTGCTGTAAATCGTGGCCTCGACAGTTATCCAGCCTGTATACATCCACAGCTCTGACACTGAAGCACCGATCACAACATTCAATATCAACAACAATAGTCCAAGTGGGACAGCTCACCCCGCCGGCGTGCAATGACTTCCACAGCAGTGCGGAGCGTCAATTCAGTCAGTTTAATTCCTGCTACTGCTGGGTGGGAGAACAGTGCAACACCTGCTTCTACTGCAGGAGCTGTGATGATGTACAGGGTTACATTAGAGGGCTATCTGTTCCGCTAATGAAGAGGACTAAAAATACTATGATGCATGAGTGCAGGCGAGGCGCTCTCTGTAATGGCAGCAGGCTGAGAGCGTGCGGTTTTTGCTCTGTACACAATTTTAACAACGATGGGAAATGTGCTGTAAAAGAGAGAGAAATGGGTCCAGACATACAGTAGCCAGCAGGAACACAATGCTGCCGTTGTGTTTATATTTTCTCCTCTGCCCGCAGGGAGAATCAGTCATGATTAGTCTGTACAGGCAGCATGATTACCAGCATCACTCATCAGCCCAATGGAAACCTTGGGAAGCATTATGCTGCTTCCCCCGAACCCACCGCATTCATTGTGGGGAATACAGAGTGAAAATCTGGCTTGTTGTTGGGCTTTTTTTTTGCAAAAGATCGCTGTGTAGATGTTGCATGTTTCACTTTTAAATGATCACATAAGACAAGTAGATTTCCCTCTTAGCTGCTGATAGTTGATTCAATCATACTGAATAATTTTTATCAGATTGACTTTTCAGCTTCCTCTAAATCCTATCTTCATATGATATGTGTTTGTGCTCTCATGAGTTGACGTGTGTCATATTTGCCATGAAGTTGCAATACCTCATGTACAAAGGCAATTCTGTTATCAGTTAGTACACTTCATAACTCCTGAAAGGTCAGAGAATAAAGGAAGGCCCGTCGTATTTTACCATGACATTTTATTCCCTCACGCTGCCGGCATCTTTCCACGGCTGCAATATTAAATGGAAGAGAAACTACAAGGAAACACATTAGCTGAGGTTTCAGTAATGCTTGAAGTTACCTGTTTGTTGTGCGACTGTCAGAACTGAAGCCCAGTAGAGGCCTGAGCTTCTGCTCGCTGTCACATTGCATCGCTGTTCACGACCACACACAGGTGCAGAGCATCAGTCTGC